TTACATATGAGGAGACTCAGTAGAGGTGTCAAAACCAAAAGCAATTCTGCTATGTCTGATAAACTGTCTGTATAACACTCAAAGTGCTTCATGAATCTTTGATGCTATTTAGGTTGATATGTAAATTATCTAGCCCAGCATGTTCAAAGAGTCACTGTGCAGCAACACCAAAGATCAAAAGCAATGTCAGTTGTTAGTCTATTGAACTTCAAAGCCTAATAAAAAATCATGAAGAAAGTTAAGTGAAAAGTATTTTATATTTAATACAAGAAATCCTTTAAAAATGTAAGTTCTGCAGTCCTGATTGAACTAAAGACATTCTAGTGGGTTTAAAAGTGTCCAGCTAGTTTTTACTGCAGCCCCTTATGACTTCTCCATACCTATGAAGATAAGATAAAGAGGAATTCTCACAGAGCAGTTGCAATATGAAACTGACATTTAACCCATTGCCAAAATCTGGGAGGAATTTTCAGTAACTGCAACAACTATGAAAAGGGATTTTAAAGTGCAGGAAATAGATTCCTAATCTTATGCTGTTTTATTTTATTTTGTCTACTTCAAAGGAGGAGAAAAATGATTTTTTTTCCTTTAGATCTCCTTGTCACCTTTTCCCACCATACACACACAGTTCAGAGAGATTGAAGCAACAAAAACCTGAGACGAGACTAAATTTTATTTTGATGTCTCTTCCTCAATGCCCCAACCTTGATCCTCCTATTTTACCATCCACCCCTGCCCCCGGCCCACATACTCAGTGTAAAGGCGGTTGAAGGTATATTGGGCAGAAGAAGGGTAGTGGTGTATATATTGGCAGTAGCATGTGATATCTTGGAAAATGTGGTCAGCACAAGTCAAATACCCTGGAAGCTATGCCCAGAGTCATGGCATCAGTTCTTTCTGTGACTTGTGCTCCTGACTGCACTGTGAAGACTATTAGAGAGTCACTCAGTGGGAGGCAATAAAAGTCTCACTTCAGAACAGAGGAAGCTCACTAGATTAAAAGGTGCTAGTATATTGAGAGTGGGGTGAAAATGTATTTATTTACTTGTCATAACATTGTAGATCATAGAGGAAGATTGTATCAGGACAAGGTGTGTGTTAATTCGTTCTCACTCTGCTATGAAGAAACACCTGGGACTGGATAATTTATAAGAAAAGAGGTTTAATTGACTCACAGTTCCACATGGCTGGGGAGGCCTCAGAAAACTTACAGTCATGGCAAAAGGTGCCTCTTAACAGGGTGGCAGGAGAGAAAATGAGTGCAGAGCAAAGGGGGACACCCCTTATAAAAACCATCAAATCTTGTGAGAACTCACTATCACGAGAACAGCATAGGGGAAACCATCCCTATGATTCAATTATCTCCACCTGGTCCCGTCCTTGACATGTGGGGATTATTATAATTCAAGGTGAGATTTGGATGGGGACACAGAGCCAAACCATATTAAGGTGGGCAAAGTTTAATTTACTCTTTGCTATCACTAAATGTTTACTATGAATAAATGTTGAGAATCTGGATAGGGATGACTTACTCAATGTTGAGGAACTGAAAAAAAAATTCGCCAGGGACACTATAAGAAATTACTTGGGAAAGAAAGACCTAGGCTCAAAAAGTAGTCCTAGGAATTAAATTTTAGAAAAACGATTAACATCCCTGATATGATTTTCATCTTTCATCCCAACTTCCAACATTTTTGTCGTTGTTGGAAGTTGAGATGAAAGGATAAGATGAAAAGGGAGATTTCTAAAGTAAAATGTAATTATAAAGAGCTAAAAATTCAATATGTGGATTAAAATTCACACTGAGGACAGTAAAAGACAGATTTGACACTGCAGAAAATTGAACCGGTAATGTGAACATTGAGTAGTTCTCTCAGAATGTAGAGAAAAAGGCACAATAATAAAAAAAAGTGGAGAAAGATCATCGATATGACATGCCCAAAATGGAAAGTCAATCTCAAAATTGTACATGCTCTGAGGAACAGACTAGAATGATTGGATCAGAAGTACAAAAGATACAATTGATGAAAAATTTCCTGGGTTTACAATGATGGCTGAAAGAATCTGCTGTGTCCCAGACAAAAAATAGTACTAAGAAACCTATAGCTAGGGACATCCTGGCAATAAGAAAAAAAATACTATAGAGTGGCATTATATTTCAAAAGTATTGAGGTCATAAAACCAGCTTTTTTGCAAGAGAATGAGTCATGATGATACCTGCTATATATGCAGGAAGGTAATGAAACCATCAACTTTTCTATTTTGTATAAAATTTGGAGGGGGAAAGATTATAACCCAAGGATTTTACATAAAACCAAGGTTTTCTATCATGAATAGAAGTAGCAAAAATCAGAAAATATATCATCCATATATTTTTAAATGTAACATGAAAATGTACATTAGCAAACCAAAAGACAAGTTAAAATTAAGATTTCAAAAATGACAGTGGCATATAAAAAACAGTTTAGACATCTGCCTTTATCTTTTGTGAAATCCAAATTCAGTAATTCCTTGGAATTTGCAACATTCATGAACATCTAGTTCAAAAGGGCTTTCTTAGCATCACAGGTTCTGAAGCCTGACTGTCTTGGTTAGACCTGGGTGCTAGAAGTTTGCTTCTGGTAGAAAGTCTTTTAATCTACCTATGCATTAGTTTCTTTATATGTAAAATGGGAATAACAATAGTATCTGTTTTAAGGAATGTAAGAGTTAAATAAGTCAAGACACGTTGATGTTAGCTATTCTTATTTCCAGATTTTAAAATGACACCCACATTCTTGTTTATTTCTGTGTGTGTAAATTAGAGAAATGAATTTACAAAACAACAGATCTTCTTGTTGATTCTGATGGAAAGAGAATATAGTATATTGTTTAAGGAACAGACCAGACACAGCATGAATCTCTTCTCTGTCACTTTGTTATAGTGTGTATTTGGACAAGTTATTGAACATCTGTGAACCTCAACTCTTTTCTTCTGTAAAACAGGGGAAAATATTTAATGTTCAGATAGAGTGACCAACAGGTCCTGCCTTGTCCTGGACATTTCCAGTTTTTACACGGAAATTCCTGTGTTCCAGGAACCCCTCAGTCCCAGACAAACTCTCTTAATTGTTAAAATCTCACAAATGCTTAGCATATGATCTGAAAACATAAATGTGCAATAAATTTTATTGTAAGTAATGAATCGTCAAAATTCAACATTTTTCTTAAACTTACAGCACATATCAATTTGGACTAACCACATTACAAGTACTAAAAGGCCGCATATGGCTAGTGGGTACCATGTTGGACAGCACAGTTCTAGATAGATGCTGGAATAAGTTGAAGAAGAGGAGGATACTGCCACAAAATTGTTGTTTTCTCTTTTGTAAGAAGATGATGATTATTTTTTCTCTCTTATTTCACACTCATTCAAAGTTTCCAAATGTATAAATTCTTTTGTCCAATAAGATATTGCAGTTAGACAATGGAGAGCTGTTACTTTATCTAATATTTGCAATTATCTACATTAATAAAAAACTTGTATGTATGTAAAGTTTTATTTAACCACTTTCTGGAGGGAAATGAGGACAAAATGCAGAGTGGTAGGAAAGCCTATGGCTTATGCCATTTTATTGCTCACTTATTTTTAAATGGTTCAAACCTAGCCTGTATTCACATTATCATGTGCTAGAGAACCACTTTGAATTTCTGATCACTTTTTTTTTGTCTGAAAAGAAGTTTTGCCCAATATATTGTTAAACACAATATGAAATACAAAACTCTGGTAACTAAAGTTTAATGCTTCCAGATTTTTCTATCAGTTGCTGACATCTTAGAAGATTGTGAGTAGGTCATAGAGATATTTGTTTTGTCATTTTAATGGATATCAGTGACTTGTAAAACTTTCTAAGCCATTGCTAAATATTAGACACTCCTTCTTTGGTTTATGAGCTCCACATAAATTATATAATCAATAATAACATAATTAAATAATGAAGGCACTTGCGCCTTGTCTTCCTCTAGTACTGAGTCCTGGTTAGAAAACAAAAAGGAGATAGCCTTTTTCTTTTTTTTTCTTTCTTAATATCCTATAGCCTCCAATTTTACCCACTGAATGAAACCGGGAGAACTGGTTCAAACTAGATTTAGTTTTTCTGGATGTGTTCAGTGAAAATCATTGTTATATGATGTTCTAAAAATCTTTCTCTGATTGCTTTTGATTGTCTTAAGTAAAAGTAAAAGGAGGCAGACCATCTGGTGAAGGGTGGCAAGTTACATCACAAATGCCAACCATAATTGATTATTGGCAGCTGTAAAAAGGCTCTGCTAAGGAGAACTGTGAGGTCTAGTGCAATTCTTGGTGAAAAATCATCTAAAGATGTCGGCAAGGGCTGTGGGAAGCAGGGGCACGTATGCACGTCCCAATCCCTCATTAACAGTAAGCTTCACAAAAATGAAATAGAAATCATTATTTCAGCAGAGCAGTAAGCAGCATGGAGAAAAATGGGGTCAGTCAGATGCTAAGCCTAAATAAATTTTTGCTGTTGGAATTCTCCAAAAAGATGTAGAATTCTGGCCCATAGGCTCACAGGTGTGAACTTAAGGAAGCAGCTTGCTTGAGCGTACTGCAGGTGCCAGTGTATCTATTTGTGTTGTAACCACTGGACACTAGAAGAATGTGGAATGATGTCAGAGAAGATCAGTGTTAAAAAGTGGAAATCTCTTAGAATATCTGATGCAGTTAGGCTTTGTGTCTCCACACAAATCTCATCTTAAATTGTAATCCCCATGTGTTGAGGAAGAGACCTGATGGGAGGTGGTTGGATTATGGGGGCAGTTTCCCACACGATGTTCTCATGATAGTGAGTGAATTCTTGTGAGATCTGATGGTTTTATAAATAGTAGATTTTCCTATGCTTTCACACACACACACACACACACACACACACACACACACACACACTCTCTCTCTCTCTCTCTCTCTCTTTCTCTCTCCCTCTCTCCTGCCACCGTGTAAGATGGACATGCTTGCTTCTCCTGCCATGATGCTAAGTTTCCTGAGACTTCCCCAGCCACGTGGAACTGTGAGTCAATTAAACCTCTTTCCTTTATAAATTACCCAGTCTTGGAAGTTTTTTATAGCAGTGTGAGAATGAACTAATACAGTGCCATAGTTACATCAAAGACAATATCAAAATATTCTAAAGTCAGTTTTATCAACATTTCAGTGAGAGAAGATTATATTTGGATCTTCTTATAAAATGATAATATTTGAAATACATAATTACAGACATGTGAAATAGAAGTAATTTTGCTAATTTAACCCCATCATTTAATAAATGGACAAACAGTCCAAGGAAGTTGGGTGAAATTCAAGGTCTGAGAGTTTCATGTGTATCAGAACTGTGTTCAAAGGTAAGGCCTCTGAATTCTAACAGGGATCAAAATCTGAACATCAGAGAACTTCTGGACCCAGTAGAGGCTATTTATTTCATTTTACTTCCTATGGGTAGAACTTTACTAAAATTATTTTGGACAGGTAGCTTTTTATCATCTTTAAAAAACCCTATGACTTTCTGTTGCTGCTATTACATAAATGTAAAAGGGAAATAATTGTATTCTTTACCTTTTGCTGTTCTTCCACTTAACTCCTTTTCTGGAATCTCTTTTTTTTGTGAGGAAATCCATTAACATCTTTATATATTGGCTTCTTTTTTGATATACAAAGAATTTCAGCAGTCACATTTTTTGGTAAGAAAAACTCATAACTAATAAAAGTTTCCTATTTGTCATACAAAATTTAGCCCTCTCTTTATTCTATTGAATCTTAACGTCTAGTGGCTGGATGACTCAGTGGAAAAAATAAACAAACATTAACCATAATTATATGTAAAACGTAAATCAATTTTGGGAGTGCTTTCAAATATTTTGATTTTAGCCAAGATGTCATATGCTTTTTCATTCACTAAACATTTTTGAAAACCTACAGTATGAGCTAGGTACAATTAAGAGTTGAGCATAAAATTCTCACAAAATACTCCTAATGTGGAGGGCATAAATATATAAACACAACTAAAAATGATATATTTTATATAAGTTACATAGACAATGTGCTATTTGAGTACAGACAATATAGTTCAGGAAAAACTCATGGACGAGGTAAGTTTTGAGGTCTGTAGGGAATTCCCAATGACGACAAGACATAACAGAGAAGGGGCACAAGCAAAAGCAAGGAGACATGATGCAGTGTGCCATTTTTAAGGAAAATGAATAAACTGGTATAACCAAAGTGCAGTGTGTAAGGGATAGGACAGCAAAGAATGGTCGTAGGAAAGTATATTGTGTGCTAGGACTGTATCCCTGAGACCTGATGAGTCATCAGCTTTTTTAAACAAGGAAGTGGTATAATGAAATCTTTATTTACAAAAATAGTATTAGTGGCAACATGGAAGATAGTTTGGAGAAGAGAGAACTCACAGACAGCAAGGAACTGGAGTTGAAAGATTTAAGAAACAAGGCATTCATTGTTCAGGATCCCATGACCTCCTTAAATTTGCTTCCCTTTTTTGCCTCTTTTCCTGCTGGTTTTCTTTATCTATACATCATCCCAATTCCTTAACAGAGCTTATAATGCAGATCTATCTGCCCCCTGCCTGCCCTTTGAGCAGGGACCAGCCTCACTCTTTCCAATCATCCCCAAGCTCCAGCATGCTGTTTTATCTTCCATTACACCTATGTCGAAAACTCCTCTCTGCCTCAGGGAGGCAGGGTCTCCTGTCTGTCTAAACTGTTTATTTCTTCCCCTTTTGCATGGCTAACTAATTATTTATTAAGTTGCAGCTTGGTGTTACTTTCTGGAGGGATTCCTTGTCTATATTTTCTTTCCTGAAAACACTCGTGCGTGCGTACACAAGCATACACTATCCCCAGTCTTTTCATGTTCCTTCACAGTCCTCCTTTGCTATGAGCTGATTTAAAAAAATAATAAAGCCTAGTCTAGACTTTTGAAATAGTTACTCACGAAATTGTGCACTTGTTGCCACTCTCCTTCACCAGTAAAGTTTGGATCGTGCATATGTTACTTATTGCTTTATGTGCTCAGTAAATACTTCTGAATAAATGAACATAGCTACCAGTGTAATAGCTACACAGCATTATTGCCCAGCACTAACTAGCTGCAGTTGTTAATCTGTGAGATGGAAAAGGGAGAGAGGAAGAGATAAGAGAAAGGTTTTGATTGGTTTGGACACCTTTTGGTCATCATATTTTTTTTATTTGAGGCTAAAGGTGTCAGGGATATTGGGTGTGAGGCTCATTCAGCAAGAACTGTGGACACTGGCAGATTTAGTGACACTGGGCATGGACATGACAGATTCCTCAAAGTTCACTTAACATTTTAATAACCAGATAAGCAGAGATAAGAAATTCATAGATAGATGTGCATCCCCATTCAGAATGAGAAGCAAACCATAGCAATGCAGAATGACTGACCAGGCACAAATACAGGCCCTAAATTGTTTGGAGTATACTCATTGAGTCCTTGTGAGTCAACAGTATGACGCCATCATTTGAAATTTCAGCGACCAGAGTATGTTAATAAGAAGATATTATGTAGCTATTTCTAATAGTCATCATTCACCATACTGTATTCTTCTAGGCTTCTTTATCTTCAAATACTGGAAGAGATAATGATTGACATATCACTGAATAACAGAATTTACTGCTGAAAAAAGTAAACGTAACAGCATAACCCAAAGAGAAGAATATTGAGGAAAGATGTAATCCCTCTTTGGTTTAAAAATAGTATACATGGGATAGCAATCCAAAAGTTTTTATCACTACTATGAAACAAGAGGAAGTAGAAGATATTGTTACAATTATCAACAAGATCATAAGCATGAAGATAAGGACATTTGTTGTGTGTTCACCAATATTGCCCCAATAGCTGACACAGGGCTTGGCAGTAGGGACTGTCCAATTAATGTAAGTTGAATAAGTGAAAGAAAGTGTTGGTTATTTAGTGCCCATATGCATGTACTTCTGTAGAAATAATATCAAACAAAATAGATGATATTTGAGTGTTTATAATGTAAGTCATGTAAAGTACTCTTCTAAAATATTCGTATGTAAAACTCATTGAATATAGGGTGGGTGTGGTGGTTCACACCTGTAATCCCAGCACTTTGGGAGGCAGAGGTGGAAGGATCACCTGAGGTCAGGAGTTTGAGACCAGCCTAGCTAACATGGAGAAACCCTGTCTCTATTAAAAAAAAAAAAAAATAGCCAGGCGTGGTGGTGTGTGCCTGTAATCCCAGCTACTCAGGAGTCTGAGGCAGGATAATCACTTGAATCCAGGAGGCAGAGATTGCAGTGAGTCGAGATCATACCACACTCCAGCCGGGATGACAGAGTGAGACTCTGTCTCAAAAGAAAAGAAAACAAAATAAAAACGAACAAACCAAAAACCTAACTGAATGTTTACAACAACCTATTTGAAATGTGAATTTTATTATTATGCAAGTATAGCAAAGCCAATAGACCAGGAGATGACCGCCACTGACAAGTTAGTGTGTCACTCCCAGTTCCAAGAGGAGGGGGCATGCTAGGTAAGCTATTCAGGGCTGCAGGGGAAAGCACCAAGGTCAGTCAGGAGGAAGAAGATACAAAAGGAACAGCTTTTATTATGGTCTTCATGGGAAGAAGTGGGCAAGGTGGAGTAAACCAGCTGAGCACGTTTACGATTGGATAGTTTGAATAATTTCCATGGGCTCTAGCCTATAGTGGTGGTCTCTAGTTCTTTGGTACCCGGCCCTGGGTGACTTAGGGCAAGGGAAGAGTGTCCAGGACTGCAGAAGCTGATAAAAGAAAGTGGATGGGGCATGGACTCAGATTAGTTGGTTTGCACATCAAGGATGTACTAACAGGCAAGTTGTTTGCCATCCCTAGGAATTAGTCAAGTCTGAGACAGGTAGTCCCTCCTCAGGTACACAGGCTGAGGATATTTAAGCATCATCAAGTACAGAAAATTTAAACATATGATTAATACTCACCTTCATGAGGTAGGAATTATTATCATTCAAACTTTCAGATGAGCATAGAGTCAGAGAAAGGGTAAGTAACTTTCCCAGAATAACAGAAGTAGTAAGTGGTCAAGCTGGGATTTAAATCAGATAATATGGTTTCAAGGCTCAGTTCTTAACTGTCATATTATACTTTTCATATACGTAGTAAGAGACTATCAAATAAAACAAAAATCCTAGATAATTAAAAAAAACCCTAGATATTTTATATACATATAGAATGAAACAACCAAGAATAGAATTAATAAAGCCATGAATATAAACGTATTTAGTTTAGTGATTAGAATCTTGTTGAGAGGTGAATGGGTTTTTAGATAACTTTTTTATTTTATAAAGATGACTTCATAGGTTATGTGCTTTTTTAGGATGAGAAGAAAGATACCTTCTAGACAATAAAGACTACTTACATTTACATCTTCTAAATACGTACTACACTGCAGTGCATAATAGTTTTTTTTTACAGGGATTTTCCACATTAGACTGTGGGCATGTATGGCAGAGACAATTTTATTTACCTTAGTATCTTCAATGCCTGTCATATAATAGGCATTCTAGCAAAATGTGTGAAATATTGTAACCCTGGTGGTAAATATGTTATATGGATAGATAGAGAACATAATAATTGATAGACAGATAGATATTATGTGCTGAGTTTTTGAAGACAGTGGCCTGGCCTGGATTGCTCTGAACTCAGCATTCTAAATGTACATTTCTTCCTTATATAATAGCTCAGAAAGAATCAGAAATGAAACAGGCACTTAGAGAGGCTGAGACTGCCTCCTGATTGCCCTTTGGTTATTCAGCAACTCAACATACTCCTCAGATCATTGTTCCCATGGTCTTTATTCATTAGTTATTCAACTGGGAGCTAACAGAGTGGGCCACCTGTGCTGAGGCCAAGCTCAATGAACTTGGAAAGATGATGACGGGAGGCAGTTAAATATTTAAAGGCAATAAAAAGAGTAAGGATTAGTATTGTCATAAAACACTATTAAACTTTTTAA